TGGCGCCCGGCAGGCGAACGGCCATGCTCCCTGGCTCCTGGCAACCTCAAATGGTTGGGGACCAGTGCTCTAGGGAGATCCCATGAGGATATACTGATGGCTCGGTCTGCGAGCACGTTCCCTAAGAGCAGCTCTGGGTCTTCACCACTGACGGCACGGAACGTGGTCCCTGTCCTCGGAGCATTCCTCCGGCTTCACAGCAGCTTCTGGCCCTTCACCACAGAAGGCGGGAGATGATAAGGAAACACGGCCTGATGTCACTCTCCTGATGGCATACGGGACAGCAGCAGGTACTGGACTGGCGTGCCCCGGATGCAGCCACTGAGCCTGTGCTACAGGGTGTGCAGGAAGCACCTCAGCAGCCACGCTGGTGTCCAAGACAGAGGTGGGGACAGCAGAAGAACCCGACCTCTTGGAGGGGTAGTCCCTATATCTGAGTAGTGGTGGGAAACTGGAGTGATTATAGGGACATCTGTGTGCAACGCCTGAGGTACAAGCAGCCAATCTTGCCTTCTGGCGGGAAAAACCGGTCTATTCCAGTTCTTGTTTACCTCAAAGTGTCACAGCTGCAAATGGAGTCCTAGTTACAAATGCCATAAAGGTCTCGAGCATCACCCAACAGCAAGCTGCGCCGTGCTGCTCAGGAGAGCGCCCGCCTTCAGCAGGCAGGACGAGACGCCCCAGCGCTCCCCCGGAACGGATTGCACAGCTGGCCTGTGGAAACAGACGCAGGTTCAGGGAACGGGTTGTCAGCAGAAAATGAACCGACGGGCAAATGAAGCTTAATACGCTAAAGCCCCTGGCCACAAAGAGAATCCCCAGACCCCAGGTCAGTCTCCCTCCAGCCACTGCAGGGTGGGCTCAGGGGTGACCGGCTCAGGGCGCCGAGAGCCATGTGGCCAGCAGGGCGGGGGAGGGGCAGCAGGAAGGGCTGGTTGGCCCGGGCGGGTCACTGCAAAGCTCTGGTGGTCAGTGAGTCCAGTTGGGGGCGGAGCCGCTCTAAGGGGCCACGTTCGCTCGGCAATTTCCTGGCAGAGCCGGCACCACCAGGCCTTTTCCAAGTGCCCCAGCAGCTCTCGGGTCACTGCCCTGAGTCCCACCGCACAGCAGCGAGCTGGGGCCAGCCCAGGGCAGCCCCGGGCCCCTCCCCCACCCGCACAGGTGCAGCCTGGACCGCCGGGTAGCCTCAGAGCCAGGCGGGAGCAGCTGGGCTCCAGAGACCTCCGTGGGCTGCCCTGCAGTCGTTAGCCGGGGTCGCTCAGGCGCTGGAGCAGGGTTGCCAGGTGTCCAGGATTCACCCAGACCGTCCGGTATTTTCTGCTCCTGCCCGGTAAAAAAATTCAGAGACACCTGAGTATGGACATCAACTTAGCCTGGGTCTAACGTCACCTATCAGAGCACACAGCAGCCTGGGGCATCTCCAGTGCAAACTGGTCCCCTCCTGCCGGGCCGTGCGGGAGAGAGGGCACCTGCTACTGCCAGATTCTCAAGCAGGGCTGGTGCTGCCGGGCTCCGCTGGGCCCCAGAGCCCGGGCCATGTGGACACTCATCTCCCTGTGAGGCGCCGGCAGCTGCAGGGCGATTTCCACAGGCCTGGGGCCCCTGCACCTCCCCCTCCCTCAAGCAGCCCCCAGCTCCATAACTGGGCCTCGCTCACAGGGGTAGGGGCTTCCCTGAGCTCCGTGGTTGACGGCTCCTCTCAGGTGCTGTGAATCTCTCTGTGGCCAGGAAGGCTCTTCGGTAGCAGACCGCCCCACACGGCCTCTCGGGCCTGCTGTCTGTCGTCTGGACCCACTGGCTACCCCGGGTCGGGAGCAGGAGGAATGGGTCTGGGATCAGGTGTAGCCTTTGGAGCCGTCCCATTTAGGCACAAAGAATTGACCCAGCCCCGTGTCTCAAGGCAGCAGCAGCCGACAACACCGGGCAGTTTCCTTGCTCACAATTCCCAGGCCAGACCTGTGTGCAGGGACCTCTGCCTCTGCACCGGCCTGCTGCCTTTCTGCTTCTCGCACCCTGTCCCAGCCCTTCCGCTCAGCAGGCGCCGCCAGGGCTGCCAGGTGTCCGGTATTCACCCGGACAGGCCGGTACCTAACATGTCCGGGATTTTCGGATTTTTTTCCCTGGCCAGGAGGCAAAAATGCCGGGCACCTGGCAACCCTACAGACATTCAGCGCCCGGCCTCCCCTGGCTCCCAAGCAATGACTCCCCGGGGTCTTAGTGCTCACCACCCCGTCCCTAGCCCTGCGCTGAAAGGGGACATGCTGTTCTAATGCTGTTTTATTTTAATTTTTTTTTAAGAAGTCCTTGGAGTCTTTTTTTTTTTAATCAACAACTTTGGTCTCCCCTTTTTCCCCCCTTCAACAGAATTTCTTCCCGGTGTGGGTTTTGGTTTGGTTTTTGGTGGGGGGGGGGGTGCTCAGTATTTTTGGTTCAATCATCTGGCAACCCTAGCTGGCAGGCCCACGCCAACAGCACCGAGCTCGACCAGGCCCCTTTGCTGGCTGGGGAGAGGCTGCAGGCCTGGCCCAGCACTGGGGGAGGGGCTCCCCAGCTCAGCTTTCCAATCACTAGAGATCTTTTCTCGGGGCCCCTCCGTGACGCCCCGTTCTGCCCCTGGAGGCAGGCCGCCGGGCTCGGCCTGGCCTGGCACCCGCACGAGAGGGCATTGGGGTCAGGGCCGTGGTGTCCCATGACAACTCACTGGGCGCCCGTTCCACCCAGTGCCTAATGCCAGTGAATCAGGCGCATGAAACGGCAGAGCCAGGCGCTCAAAGGCCCCGGGCCTCGTGGCAGCTGAGGAGTGTGAGCAGGCTTTGGCGCCGGTTTCTGGAGTCCCCGGGGCCGGTGACCTAGCTGTACAGGAAAGTGGGGTTCGAATGCAGCCGCCCTGGACTTACGGGAGCAGGAGTCCGGCTTCCCCGGCACACCGGCATGGCAGGGGGGGCTGAGCCCTGGGCTTTATCCGAAGTGGTTCCTCTCGGATGTGCCACCTTCTTGCCTTTGGAACTCACAGACGCTCTACGGGAGCGAGGCTGGAGGAGCTGCGCTGAAGCTCCTACCACCACGTGCCCACTACGAGGGGATGTGACGAGCTCCCCTCCCCCCCGAGAACGGGGCCCAGTAACATCTCGTTCCAGCTGCTGCTAGGCCTCCGGAGCAGTGCAGGTGCGAGAGCAGGCCCAGGGAGGTGGCTGCTGAGCCTTGCTTCCAGGCTCTCCACTGGTACGTCTGGAGCGCTGTGGCCTTTATTCCGTGGCACTTCAGAGCTGGGGCAGGCAGGGGCTGAGCCCCACGCCAGGGGCTGCCCCAGTCTCCTCAC